GGTGATTCTGTGTTTAATACTTTGAGGAACCACCAAACCTTTTCACAGAGGCTGCACCATTTTACATTACTGCCAGCAGTGCATGAGGGTTCTGATTTCTCTACATCTTCACCAACACTTCTCATTTTTCCTTTTTTGATAATAGCCATCTTCATGAGTGTGAAGTGGTATCTCATTGTGATTTTGACTTGCATTTCCCTTTTGAATAAGGATGTTGAACATCTTTTCACATGCTTATTGGCTCTTTGTATATCTTCTTGCAGGTTTCTTTTTTAAAGGAGAAAACATAAATGTATGAGCATATATAAGAGCATTGTTCATCATCTCCCCATTCCGCACCCCGGTATGGAGGAAGCAAATTAACTGGGGGAAAGTAGGTGAATAAATACAGTGTGCAGTTTCATATAGACATATAGTCTGTCTTTATATTTGATCTCGTTTCCTCTGCATGCATGTATATCTCTCTTTTGTGTGTGTCTTGCCTACAAATAGATAACTACTCCTGACACTCCTGTGTTACTGGACTTGAATGTTTGATAGAGGCCTGGGGTTGAAAGTAAATGAGGGCTTCCCAGTTAGTCCTTACATGAATATTTTCAAAATTAGGATGCACTTATACTGCATTCAGTTACAAGCCTTTCCTTGTGTTTTCTCTCTTTCTTTTGTGTTTTAGTTTTAGGAGACTGAAAGCCTTTATGGCCCAGACATCTATGGTACTTAGAAAGAGTGCTGCTGTAATTTTGTAATTTTCTGTGTTTCTAACAAAGTAGCCAGTTCCTATATGCTTTCTTGTCTTCTTTCTGAAAACTCTTCTGTTAGACAGTAGGATAATCTGTGATACAAGATATCTATATTTTAACAAAGAGAACAACTACAACAGTAGGTAATATACATGGTTAATTAGTGGATAAACCTTTAAAATGATTTCTCATTTGGGGGAATATGACAATTTAGTTATGTTAACTGAAGTTTTCAGTACACTGTTGATGAAATTTTAAGCTTAGTCTCATTTTTCTGTGATGTCTCAGGTGTTTGCTGACCAGCACTTTGGAGAGTGCATGCTTATCTGGCATGTCCATAACAGAACGAACTGTGTGTTCCCTCTCTGAGGCTCTGGGCAGCAATTTTCCCCTTTGGACAGTTCAGGACAGTGAGCTTTATCATAGATTAATATCCATAGCTACAGAGTGATTTTAAATCCAGAATAAACCTAGGGTAGGGGAACGAAGAAAAGGCTCTCTTATGAAAAAAGTGAAATTTTCTTAGTGTGTCTTACAGGTTTTTAGGAATTATCTGTTCTTACAGCCTTTTTTTTCATGTAACATTAGATCAAGGAAGAAGTTTTTCTTTATTTGTTTTGTTTGCTTACAAAAATCTATACCCCAAATGGTATAACTGGAATTAAGGGGAAGTACTTGGAATGTTCAGTTTATTTCTTTCTTCTTCCAGATTTATCTGCCTTTGAAAGTTCAACAAAGTTTTAGTGTTGTTTTTATCTTTGTGTTTTAATTAATTTAATTCATGCTACCTCTTTTCACATGGACTCCATACTAGTCAGAATCCTTCTGAGATTACAAAGATTATTTGTATCCCTTCAAGTGTTAGAACCAAAAATGAAGAGCAAATTCCTTTATCAAATGAGATTTATAAAGCTTGCAAATCAACTTATACAAGTTCCCTATTTATTTAAATTTTAGCAAGCCATTGTTTCCAAAGGGGAAGGTTAGAACAAAAGAAAATGTTTTTTGATTGACAGTATTTTCATTTAAAAGTTTAGCTGATCTACAAATGACAAACATTCAGAAGAAAGGCATTGCCTTTGGATGTGTTGTAGTCATGCTCTCTGAATGCTCTGTTTTTAGCTTTTGGTGATATTTGTGCTCACACATGCTCTCTCTCAAGTGATTTGAAAGTAAGTGGCAGACATCATGGCACCTCACCCCTAAATACTTCAGCATGTGTCTCCTAAGAATGAGGATATTATTCTGTATAAAACCACAATGCTATATCACACTCCAGAAGGCTAACATTATACAGTAATAATAAGGTAATATATGGTCTGTTTTTCCAAATTTTCCTAATTCTCACAAAAATGTGCTTTTGTAAATTTTTATTCCCCCTAATCCAGGATCCAGCCAAGGATCACACACTGCATTTGATGGCTGTGTCTCTTTAGTCTTTTTTAAACCAGAACAGGCCCCTTTTCTTTTTTTTTAACTTTTTTTTTGTCTTTCATAACATTAACATTTTGAGGAGTCTAGGCCAGTTGTAGAATGTTCCGCAACCTAATTTTGTCTTTTCTTCTTGATTAGTTTCAGGTTAAATGTTTTTGGTAGGAATACCACATGTATGCTTCCCATTACATCACATCAGGAGGCACACTGATACTGGTTTGTGTTAATATAGAAGATGCAGAGTTTGGTCATAATGCAGATCACTTGTGTGAAGGGGGAGGTTTGTCAGACCACTCCACTGGAAAGCTCTTTTTCCTTTTTTAATAATAAGTAATCTGTAGGTTCATGTTTTGAGACTGTGTAACTGTCCTGTTCCCTAATAACCTTTCATTTGGTGGTTTTAATTTGTTTATTGATTTACTCCAGGGTTTCCCCAGGGGATTACTGATGGATGTCTATGTACCTGTAAAGCACCAGGAAATTTTTTCTGTGTGTATGTATTTTTCCAGGGATACGGTCCAACACCTCCAGAGTGTTTAAAAGATCTTTTCCCTCTGTTTTTGACGTGGCTCCTGCAAATTTCTATGCATCAGAGAGTGTTTTATAAGTGGTAGGTTACTGGAATTAGGGAACAAACCCTGTTCATCTGATTTCCCTAATTATCTTGCCCAGCATCACACAACAAGTAGGTAGTTAATTTTTGTTGTTGTTTGTTTGAGAACGCTTTGTTCTGGCCTTTCCCTTATCCTGAGCCAAGCATTTGGATCTTTTGTGTTTGGCATAAAGTGTACTAGAAAATAAAGCGAAGGGCTAAGCCCCTGGTTTTTGGTGTTCTCTTTGAAGATTTGGGGTCACAGCAAAATTTGATTTGTGTCTTTGTTGACACTGAAGTAAATTTAGGTCAATTGGAAATGATTTAAAACACTGTATCAACTATATTTAGTTGTCTAATTATCAGTTGTATCAGTAAGACATTTTTCACAAGTGTAAAATAGCACTTTTTAACTGTGTAGGCAAGAGGGTCCCACAGGTGACTTAGGGAGCCTTATGTCCATTATTAGCCTAATACTGAATAGCTGTAGAAGTGATTAATTCTTGTCTTCCCCTGCTCAACCAGGAGAGCAGTATGGAATTCATCATGGCAGCAGCCAGCAAGGTGTGTTTTGTTTTGTCTTGTTGATTAGCCTGTTGGTATTTGCCTTGCATGAAGTATCTGTCATTTAGGTGACTGATGATAATAATAAGAGTTAACATTGGAATAGTATACTTTTAACATATACATTATACCATTTAATCCAGAAGATCACTCTGTGAAAGTAGATATTATTTTTATTCTAATTACACAGGTAGGGAAAAAAGCTTAGAGAAGTTAAAGTAAGCACATTAAACAGCTTGTAAGGAGCTCCAGATTCCTTGACCTTTCTGTCATTCCAGTCTAAAAGGTAGAGGCATTCTAAGGAATCTAAATATGGACAAAGCATGGCCCTGCTCTCAAGGATCTTTTAAATACAACAAGTGTGTTGTCTTACCGAATGTATTATAGACAACAAATCAAGGGGAGAGCTAAGGAAGTACAGAAAAGGGCAGACAACTATAAAATAGAAGGTCAGGTTTGGTAAGATGGAGGTAGCATTTGAGTGGGAAAAATGGGGATTTTATTTTTCTTCAATTTTTTTAATTTTTATTTATTTTTGGCTGTGTTGGGTCTTCATTGCTGCATGAGGGTTTTCTCTAGTTGCGCCGACTGGGGCTACTCTTCATTGAGGTGCACGGGCTTCTCACTGCGGTGGCTTCTCTTGTTGCGGAGCACGGGCTCTAGGCGCGTGGGCTTCAGTAGTTGTGGCTCGCAGGCTCTAGAGCACAGACTCAGTAGTTGTGGCGCATGGGCATAGTTGCTCTGCGGCATGTGGGATCTTCCCGGACCAGGGCTGGAACATATGTCCCCTGCATTGGCAGGCGGATTCTTATCCACTGTGCCACCAGGGAAGCCCAAGAGTGGGGATTTTAAAAAAGAGTGAGCAAGAGCATGGAGATGGGAAAGCACGGGACTTGTTATGGGAGAAGAATTGGTCTGGTTTGGCTAGAGCATGAGCTGCATGAAAGAAAGTAGTGGAAGCTAGACCTGAAAGATAGGTAAGGATCATGTTGTGGAGGGCCTGGAATGCCATGGTAGCGAAGAACCTCATTCCAAAGGAACTTTTGAGCAGGAAATGAAAAATGTGGCTGTATAAAAGACTTTGTGCTAATCTCTTAACATTTGTTATCTCATTAATGCCTCACAGTAACCCTATGAACAAAAACTCCATCCATTTTACAGATGTGAAACTGAGGCTCAGTGACTTTAAGTTTGCAAATGTCAAACAGATATTGCTGGAGCTAGGACTCAGACTAGGGTCTGTCGTTTTGAAAGCCTATCCTGTTTTTCACTGTGATATATTGTCATTTCTTTTATCAGATCACCTGATAAGTTCTTAATTCTCTGTCAAGAATATGGCTGTAGGAAAAGGACGTTTTCAAAGTTCTGAAAGGACTACTTCTCAATGTGTAATCATGCTAAGGAATATAATCACTATCAAACCTGACTTGTTCTGCTCTCTAATTTGGGATCAGAGCTGGATGGGAAATTGAGGAGTTGGATGATGTTTCATTTACATGCCTCATGACATCAATACATGCTCATAGCAAATGTTTTTATTTTCCTTTTCAGTGTTTAACCTTATTGGCCCTTAGTAAATCTTGGGTCAGCTAAAGCTCAGTTCCTAGGGGCATTTAAGATGCATAAAGAAGTGATACTTTTCCTAGCTAAAATATGTTTCTTCTCAGCAGGTTGTCTACTTATAAAAGACAATGACTACTGATGAAGCTGCCAAGAACAATGGAGAAAGCCCCGCAGCAGCTGTTGCTGAACAGGGAGAGGATATTACCTCCAAAAAAGATAGAGGAGTATTAAAGGTGAGGCCACAAGGATGAATGACATTTAGGGAAATTTGCTATCTGGAAAGATTGTTAATAAAAATCTTTTTTTGTTTTTTTGGTTGGAGGTGGAGATAGATAATGTTTATTGAGGCTTACTAAGTACCAAACACTGCAGTTAAATTCCCATTTTGTCTTCATAACTGGAGGTTTATTTTTAATCCCAGATTATAGATGGTAAAACTGAGGGCCAGCTAGGTAAATTAACTTGCCCCAAATCATATATCTTAGTAAATGCAGATCTGGGGTTTAGGTCCAAGTTACGTCTGACTCCAAAAGGCTGTGTCTCTCTATTCTCAGAGTGTATAAATGGGTGATTATTTTAATATAATATTTAAGTATATTAAAGCTAGCTAATGACAATTCAAAAGACTTTTTTAAAAGAAAAAAGAAAAGCTAACTTGCAGAGTTCAAAAGGATTGGTTTTTTACATACAAATAGAATTCCTGTGTGCAGTGAAGGTATTTTTTTGAGGTTTCATCAGAGAATATATCTCACTTTTGAATTAGCTTTCCTCCTTAAAAACACTTTTTTCATTCTGTAATTAATCATTTTTACATTGTTTTTAATCTCACAGTGGTTTTGTGAGACAGAGTTCTTTTTGATTCTTCCGTTTATGTATGGAAGATATGTATGTGTTATTATTTCGTATAATAAAGAGAGGTTAAATGGTTTTAGTCATACTAAGTTCTTTTTTCTCCTACACTGTTGTTATGCGTTCAAGTTTTGTATAATTAATTTTTTTTTTGCTGAAAAGATTATCTTAAACATTCTAAATATTACCACTAAGCTGAGTTTTAATATCTCCTTGTGTTATCAGTAGCAAATGAGAATTTTTTTAGTTTGTTTTGGCTAATCTTGCTTATGTGAAAGCTTTTTTCTGCGCCTGAATTTCTTCCGAATATACATGTTTTACTATTAGCTTGCTGTATGCCAAGCCAAAATTTGAAGACTTGAACCTGTAGAATAAGGGCTTTATGCTATCTATAGCATAAGATGTATATTATGATATCTTCATTCAGAGGGCTTTTCAACCTTGTAGCTCTGTGAATTACTCATCCCATACTCCAGAATGCCTCTCAAGACAGTGGAAATTCTGTGGGCTATCTGCAGCATCTCCCTACCTCTGTTTAAGTTCTTCTCTTTCATCTTTTCAGAGCACTGGTACAGACAGCATGGCCCCCAACTTGCCTGAGGCCCTGCTTTGTTCTAGGGAGTAAATCTAATAAGATTTTTAGGCTTGTAGGAAACATTTAGAGATTATAAACCCTTTAAATCTTATGGTTTATCACTGTCTAAAGCCTCATGTTTCACCATGGCTTTTGGTTAAGATTAAATAGGTCTTTTAACTCTATGACCTAGAGCAATTTAGTAACCTATCTGTGATGAAGTTTCCTCATTTGTAAACTTAGAGTAATAATACTGCCTACCTCATAGAATTATTGAGATTACATAAAGCATTTAGCACAGTGCCATGATTGTAATAATCTCTCTTATTAACTGTTACTGTATATATTTTTTAAAAGACCAAGGCAGATCTGGGAAGTGAGAAACTAACCCAGGAAGATAAAATTTCTTTTTGGAGCTTACATTTTTAAACTGAATTGAGACTAGATTGTATCCTTAAGACAGCTCCAGATTTAGGCACTAAACTCATCTTGTTGGGGAAACCGGAAGTGATACCAGAGTATCACTTGCTGATGTGAACAGCTCTGACTCCGTGGTAGCCATTCATCCCATATGCCCAGTTACTTGGTTATAGTCCTAGAAATGCAGATTCCCTCCAGGGGAGGCTCAGGCTCCTAAATACTGCATGCAGTTCATGAACACGAGCACTTCTAGAATATCGTGTGATTTCTTTTAGATTAACTTTTTTTTTTTTTTTTTTTTTTGCGGTACGCGGGCCTCTCACTGTTGTGGCCTCTCCCATTGCGGAGCACAGGCTCCGGACGTGCAGGCTCAGCGGCCATGGCTCACGGGCCCAGCCGCTCCGCGGCATGTGGGATCTTCCTGGACCGGGGCACGAACCCATGTCCTCTGCATTGGCAGGCGGACTCCCAACCACTGCGCCACCAGGGAAGCCCTAGATTAACTTTTTTGAAACGTTTTTTACCCTTGAGTACTAGAAGGGCAGTAATGATTCTCCTTTTTTTTTTTTTTACTAGCACTTAATATAATTTTTTAAACTGTAATTATTTTTTCCCAGCTGTATTGAGATATATTTGAAATATAACACTATGTAAGTTTAAGGTATACAGTGTGATGATATGATACACATGATATGTGTATCATGATATGATTCCCTCCCTCTCCTGGAGGGAATCTGCCTTTCTAGGACTATAACCAAGTAACTGGGCATATGGGATGAATGTCTACCATGGAGTCAGAGCTGTTCACATCAGCAAGTGATACTGTGGTATCACTTCCGGTTTCCCCAACAAGACGAGTTTAGTGCCTAAATCTGGAGCTGTCTTAAGGATACAATCTAGTCTCAATTCATTTTAAAAATGTAAGCTCCAAAAAGAAATTTTATATATGATATGATACACTTAAATGTTTTGAAATGATTACTGCAGTAGGGTTAGTTAACCCCTTCATCACCTCAGATAATTATTTCTTTTTTGTGGTAAGAACATTTAAGATCTATTCTCTTAGCAGCTCTCAAGTATATGATACAGTGTTGTTAATTATAGTCACCATGCTGTACATTAGATCCCAAGAATTTATTCATCTTATAACTTGGAAGTTTGTACTCTGACCAACATCTCCCCATTTTCCCCTAGCCCCTGGCAACCATCATTTGACTGTCTGTTTCTGTGAGTTCAGCTTTTTCAGATTCCACATATAAGTGATATCACACAGTATTTATCTGTCTTTATTTATCTGAATAATATTCTATTATATATATATATAAAATATTATATAATATATATATACCACATCTTTATCCATTATTTCTTTGAGATAGTGATTTCATTTCCTTTGGATTTATACCCAGAAATGGAATTGCTGGATCATATGGTAGTTCTAGTTTTAATTTTTTGAGGAAACTTCATACTGTTTTCCATAGTGGCTGTCCCAGTTTATATCCCTACCAACAGTGTACAGGGTTTACTTTTTCTCCACATCCTCATCAACACTTGTTATTTCTTGATTTTTTGATTATAGCCATGAGTTCCTTGTATATTTTCAGTATCAAATAACATGGTTTGCAGATATTTTCTCCCATTCCATAGATTGCCTTTTCATTTTGGTGATTGTTTCTTTTGCTGTGCAGAAGCTTTTTTAAAATATATATATACATTTATTTTATTATTTTTTTGCGGTATGCGGGCCTCTCACTGTTGTGGCCTCTCCCGTTGCGGAGCACAGGCTCTGGACGCGCAGGCTCAGCGGCCATGGCTCACAGGCCCAGCTGCTCCGCGGCATGTGGGATCTTCCCGGACCGGGGCACAAACCCATGTCCCCTGCATTGGCAGGCGGACTCTCAACCACTGCGTCACCAGGGAAGCCCAATTTATTTTATTATTTATTTTTGGCTGCGTTGGGTCTTTGTTGCTACATGCAGGCTTTCTCTAGTTGCAGTGAGCAGGGGCAACTCTTCATTGCAGTGCACAGGCTTCTCATTGCAGTGGCTTCTCTTGTTGTGGAGCATGGGATCTAGGCGCGTGGACTTCAGTAGTTGTGGCTCACAGGCTCTAGAGCACAGGTTCAGTAGTTGTGGCGCACGGGCTTAGTTGCTCTGCAGCATGTGGGATCTTCCCGGACCAGGGCTTGAACCTGTGTCCCCTGCATTGGCAGGCGGATTCTTATCCACTGTGCCACCAGAGAAGCCCACAGAAGCTTTTTAGTTTGATGTTCCACTTATTTATTTTTGTTGCTTGTACTTTTGGTGTCATATCCAAAAAATTATTGCCAAGATTAATGTCAAGGAGATTTTCCCCTTGTTTTCCTCTAGATGTCTTATAGTTTCATATCTTATATTTAAGTCTTTCATTGATTTTGAGTTAATTTTTGTGAGTGGTGTAAGATAGGGGTCCAATTTTATTCTTCATAGGGTTATCCAGTTTTCCCTACATCTTTTACTGCAGAGATTATCTGTTCCTCATTGAGCCTTCTTGGCTTCCTTGTCAAATATTAGTTGACTGTATATGCTACGGTTTATTTCTGGGTTCTCGATTCTGTTCCATTGGTCTTTGTGCCTGTTTTTATGTCAGTACCATTCTGTTTTTATCACTATAGCTTTTAATATAGTTTGAAATCAGGAAATGTGATGCTTCCAGTTTTGTTCTTTCTCAGGATTGCTTTGACTATTTGGGGTCTTTTATGGGTCTGTACGAATTTCAGCTTTTTTTTTTTTTTTCTATTTCTGTGAAAAGTACTATGGGAAATTTTGATATGTCTTGGATTGAATCTATAGATGCTTTTCAGTAGTATGGACATTTTAACATTTTTAATTCTTCTGATCCATGATCATAGGACACCTTTCCATTTATATGTGTCTTCTTCAGTTTCTTTCATCAGAATCTTATAGTTTTCAGTGTATAGATCTTCCACCTCCTTGGTTAAATTTATTTCTAACTATTTTATAGTTTTTGATGATATTGTGAGTGGGATTTTTTATTGAGGTATAATTGACATATAACATTTTATTAGTTTCGGGTGTACAATATAATGATTTGACATTTGTATGTATTATGAAATAATCACCACAATAAGTCTATTTAATGTCTGTCACCGTACATAGTTTAAAAAATTTTTTTTGTGATGAGAACTTTTTAGATCTATTCTCTTATCAGCTTTCAAATATGCAATACAATATTATTAACTATCGCATCATGCTGTACATTACATCCATGACTTACTCTGTAACTGAAGGTTTGTACCTTTTGACTCCCTTTACCCATTTCTCCCACCCTCCGCTCAAACTCTGACCTCTGGCAACCACCAATCTGTTTCTGTTCTTTGTATCTATAAATTTAGTTGTTTTTTCTTTACTTTCTGTCTTTCTTTCTTTTTAAGATTCCATATATAAGTGAGATCATGCGGTATTTGTCTTTCTCTGTCTGACCTATTTTCACTTAGCATAATTCCCTCAAGGTCCATCCATGTTGTTACAAATGGCAAGATTTCATTCCTATTTTTAAAATAAGTTTATTTATTTATTTATTTGGCTGCACTGAGTCTTTGCTGCTGCTTTCTCTGGGGCTACTCTTCATTGTGGTGCGTGGGCTTCTCATTGTTGTGGCTTCTCTTGTTGCAGAGCATGGGCTCTAGGTGCACGGGCTCAGTAGTTGTGCCTCTCGGCCTCTAGAGCGCAGGCTCAGTAGTTGTGGTGCATGGGCTTTGTTGCTCCGCGGCATGTGGGATCTTCCTGGACCAGGGCTCGAACCCGTGTCCCCTGCATTGGCAGGCAGATTCTTAACCACTGCGCCACCAGGGAAGTCCCGGTTTCATTCTTTTTTATGGCTAAATAATCATTCATTTTGTGTGTGTGTGTGTATACATATATATATATATATAACATATACAAATATATATATTTTATTTATCCATTCACTTATTGATGAACACAGGTTGTTTCCATATCTTGGCTAATGTAAGTAATGCTGCAGTGAACATGGCGAGGGTGCATATATCTTTTTCAGTTAGTGTTTTCCTTTCTTTGTATAAATACCCACAAGTGGAATTGTTGGATCATATGGTAGTTCTACTTTTAATCTTTTGAGGAACCTCCATACTGTTCTCCGTAGTGGCTGCATCAATTTACATTCCCACCAACAGTGCAAGAGGGTTCCCTTTTCTCCACATCCTCACCAGCACTTTTTATTTCTTGTCTTTTTGATGACAGCCATTCTGACAGGTGTGAGGTGATATCTCATTGTGGTTTTGGTGTAAATTTCCGGGATTGTTTTCTCTATTTCTTTTTCAGATATTTTGTTAGTGTGTAGAAACACAACTGATTTCTGTATATTGATTTTGTAATCCTGCAACTTTACTGAATTCATTGATTAGTTCAAACACTTTTTTTTTTAATTTTATTTTTTATTATTATTATTTTTTGCGGTATGCGGGCCTCTCACTGTTGTGGCCTCTGCCGTTGCGGAGCACAGGCTCTGGACGCGCAGGCTCAGCGGCCAGGGCTCACGGGCCTAGCTGCTCTGCGGCATGTGGGATCTTCCCGGACAGGGGCACGAACCCGTGTCCCCTGCATCAGCAGGCGGACTCTCAACCACTGTGCCACCAGGGAAGCCCCCAAACACTTTTTTTGATGAAGTTGCAGTAATCATTTTTTTTCCTTTAGAATGTCTAGGCTTTTGAGCTAAGAAAGTTATAGAATCTAAGTTCACAGTGTTTATGTGGTGATATGAGGGTGGGGCAAGGAGGATGCATCTCAAAAAAGAATTTAGGAGCAAATAATTGAATTCTTCAGATAAAAATTCAGACCCTTCCCCAAAAATGATGTTTATTGGACATTAGCTACCATCCTCTGTTATCTAATAGAAATGATTAATTTGGCATAAGTGATTGACAGAATAAATTATACACCACATGCCTGGATTTGATTTTCTTTTCCCAGAACTGACCAACTGCATTAGTGGCTTGCTCTGCCAAGAACAAAATAAATATACTGGATTTTATGATAGTTAAATGTTTTTCAACTTGGAGCTTTTTGGCATTTCCTTTACTAGAACACAAGTTATTCAGTATCATATCAAACTGTGCAGTGGTACTGTTTTTTTTACACTTTGAATATTCTTCAAATAGTAGGAAGTATAACCTTTATATCAGGAAATTGGGCTTTTTGAAATTAAACCAGACTAGTGGAATCTAGTCAAAAGATAATGTTTTTAGCAAAGGAGAGAAATAAAAATCTCACCTTTGAAACTTTGCTTCAGACTTCTTTTTGAATGTTTTTGAAAGTCCACTAATCTTTTTGGTCTAATTCAGTTTGTACATGGACTAACTCTGTGTTTTGAAAGATTTCAGTGTCAAAAGATGGGGCATTAAACCAGTGAAATAAGATCTATTGATTAATTATTTTGAGAGAATAGTGTGATTAACAATACAATTAAATATAGCATTAAAGATTTAGAGTAGTACAGGATAATTTTGTAACAGTGAGGATCATTGAGAGAACTGGGAGGGAAGCCTTTAGAAAGGACAGACAGTTGTTTGCAAATGTGCCTGAGTGATGTGGAAGGGACTGTGTGACCTCTTTATTCTCTGATTAGAAATAAAATGTTTAACCTCATTTTTCTTGACATTTGTCTTTTCTAGATTGTCAAAAGAGTGGGGAATAGTGAGGAAACCCCGATGATTGGAGACAAAGTTTATGTCCATTACAAAGGAAAATTGTCAAATGGAAAGAAGTTTGATTCCAGTCATGATCGAAATGAACCATTTGTCTTTAGTCTTGGCAAAGGTAAGAGGGTATTTTTTTTTTGAGTTGTGTTTTGCTTAGATTTATTGCTATTTATATTATATGGGAGCTAGTGGATCCTATCCTTGCCAAAAGTAAAGATGTTTTGGAGCAGTAGTTCTCATGGATCCTATCCTTGCCAAAAATAAAGATATTTTGGAGGAGTAGTTCTCAAAGTGTGGTCCGTGGATCCCTGTGGGGTCCCTGAGATACTTTTAGGGGGTCCATAGTGTCAAAATTATTTTCATAATAATACTAAGATGTTTATTTATTTATTTATTTTACTGTGTTGACATTTGCACCGATGGTACCAAGCTGCAATGGTGAATATTTGCTGGAGCCTTAGCACAAATCTAGGCAATGGCACCAAACTATACCATTAGTATGCCCTCACTCACTGTTTAAATAAGAAAAATAAAAGAAGGCCAGTATCACTTAAGAATGTCCTTGATAAGGTGTAAAACATATTAATTTTATTAAATCCTAATCCTTGAGTTTCACATGTTTTGATATTTTGTGACAGATGGGAGAGCACACATAAAGCACTTCTGCATCCCCAACTACAGTGGCTATCTCAAGGGAAAGCACTTGTGTACTTGTTTTAGTCGAGAGCTGAACTAGCTGCATTTTTTCCATAAAGCAGCATTTTTTTTTTTTTTTTTTTTTGCGGTACGCAGGCCTCTCACTGTTGTGGCCTCTCCCGTTGTGGAGCACAGGCTCTGGACACGCAGGCTCAGCGGCCACGGCTCACGGGTCTAGCTGCTCCGCGGCATGTGGGATCTTCCCAGACGAGGACATGAACCCGTGTCCCCTGCATCGGCAGGCAGACTCTCAACCACTGCGCCACCAGGGAAGCCCGAAGCACCATTTTTATTTGAAAGGGCAAACTATGATTATTCAGACTTGATTTTTCCCTATTTGGCAGATATTTTCTTGCAAATGAATGAAGTGAGCCTGTCACTTCAAGGACAACAACTGACAGTATTTGTTGCCATTGAGTTTTCAAGTGAAAATTACAGTTTCGGAAAATTTGTATCTGCTACTCAGAGCTCGACAGCTTCCCAAAACTTAAAAGACTTCTGTTGAGATCAATGAGTATTAATGAATGTGATTTTTAAAATATCATGAAATGAAATGTGTTAACATTTGGAAGATTGTGTGACTCAGTGAACAATATTTTCCCAATGACCAATGCAAGACGTCATAAAATTATGCATGAGTAAAAGGTCCATTTGATGGGTAAGCTAGACCAATGGATTTTAACGTAACATAATATGAAAAGTTCATTGATAACGGTTTCAGATTCCACATTGCAACTAACCTTTATGAAACTACCACTTGTCCAGTTTTGATGTAGTATCAGATTATAGTCATCATTATCTGAAAAGGCTATTAAAAAACTCCTATCTTTTCTAATTATCTATATGTGCGGGTTTGGATTTTTTCCATATACTTCAGCCAAAAATTGCAACAGATGAATCCAAAAGTAGGTATGAGAATCTGGTTGTCTTTTATTAAGTCAGACACATTTTACATTTGTAAAGTGATAAAACAACGTCACTCTTCTCACTAATTTTTTTCTTTTGGGAAGTATAGTTATTTTCCATAAAAATAATTTATGTTAACATATGAAGTTATTGTTATTTTAAATGAACTGGTAAATAACTATTAAAAAAATTTTAAAATATGGTAAATATCAGTAGATACAGCATACAAACAAAAGGACTTAGGGTCTTCAATTTTTAAGATATAAAGGGGCCCTGAGGAAAAAAAGTTGAGAACCACTGTTTTAAAATCTTAAATGTGATTTTTTACTAATTTCTTTACAAATGCTTTTAAATGTCTTCAGTTAATTTAGTATTCTTATTTTTTTTAATCTTGGAAGAAGAATAGTAGCCCATACATCAAATTGAATAGCCACCATGTGGCTTGTTGGAAGTTAGTGGCTGAAATACAGAGTCTTTTTATTCTTATCTGCCACAGATATAGCAGACTTCTAGTTTGTTCCCAGATCAAGTGTAGGAGAAAAGGGGCGATCCCCCTCATTCACCACCATGGCTCAGTGTTGAATAATTCCTTTCTTTTTCTGACTCTACACCTTAGTTGAGTTGCTCGCTAAGCAAGGATGTGGGAAAGGAAACAGCAAGTAGCTAAGGAGTTAAACTCTTTCTGCCTCTCTGCCTTCCCTGGTACCCACAGGCATTTGTATGTCATGGTGGCTTCTGCTTCCTGTACAACTGTACTCCCTCCAAGCTCTAGTGCTGGCTGTGCCACTGCTCCCTTCTCCTTTGGGTCTTCAGGGCTCATGTGAGATTAATCTTGTGTTCAATAAGATAGCAATCAAAATCAAATACAGATTTTTTTTTCTTACCATAGCAGATAAGGATGACGGTTAACTTAAACTTTTTTTCATTTTTGTTGATGTAAGGATGTGAATTTCCAGGGCCACCAGCATGGCTGTGGCATCATTTAATTTAGATGACCTCAGAGTAAATGGCCTCATCAGACCTCTTTGTTCCCACTGCCCCCCGCCTTTGAATTTCTGTCTTGAAGAAGTTGGTAGGTTTAAGATAATAGGTCTCCTCTCAGCAGTTATCTTTTCAAGTAGACTTAAGAATTGCTTCTCTACCCAGATTTTCTCAGTAAAACATGCAATGGTGAATGTGTCTTTCATCTTTCCTAGAATTTTGAGCAGAGAGAAAAGAGGCGACTTCCAGTTGACTTGGTACCTATGGCACACCTATCTAGAGATAGTGTTGTCTCATGGGGAGAGCATCCAGCTGGGTGTTGGGAAGCCAGGGTTCCTGTCTTTGTTCTTTCCTGTGGTATGTTAACATGAGTAAGCCACCTAACCTTCCCTGCTCTTACAAAAAGGAAGCATCTGTAGAAGAGCTTTGAGATTAATCCTGAGTCTAAGATTCCATTCTTGTATATTCTGCAAAGAGTACAGGAACAAAAACTGTAAAGGACTAAACCCAACACAATTACAGAACCTTCAGAGGCCCCCTTAAGATGATAATTAGAAATATGAGACTAGAACAATATCCCTCTGGTAAAACTTCTATAACATAATGTGTTCAGTTGCCTATAAAACAAACATTCGTTAGGCAGTTTATAGTTTTATACCTATATGTTATGGCAGTAGCTACTTCATAACATAATAAAGAAAAATAATATAAATAACTGTAGCACAAATATTGTACATTGAACTCTCTTGATCCCTTATATTGTACCTCTCCCAAGGGAATAAATAGAAATATTTCAGTGGAAAGTCACACTGATTTTGGGGTTCTATTGTGACTTCAGTATTTAAAATAGAATCATAGGGCTTCCCTGGTGGCGCAGTGGTTGAGAGTCCGCCTGCCAATGCAGGGGACACGGGTTCATGCCCCGGTCCGGGAAGATCCCACATGCCGCGGAGCAGCTGGGCCCGTGAGCCATGGCCGCTGGGCCTGCGCGTCCGGAGCCTGTGCTCCACAACGGGAGAGGCCACAGCAGTGAGAGGCCTGCGTACCGCAAAAAAAAAAAAAAATAATAAAATAAAATAAAATAGAATCATAAGAACTTATCTATAAAAATTGCATTAAAAATACACATACCATAAGTATAAATTTGAGGTATACCTACACATTGTTTGTATGTGTCTGTTGTTCTTTTTGTACCATCTTTGAAACTCTGTGCTTCACTTCTCTCATATATAAAGTGATGATAATAATAGTATATACAATTATATGTTGAGGATTAAATAAGATAGTATACACTGTTGCTTAGCACTCAGCCTAATACATAGTAAGCACTCAAATCTTTTGTTACTGTTGTTACAGTACTGGGATTATTGGCTGGCTTTACAATAGAGTGGCAAGAGCTGTGTTACAGCAGTTTAGGTCCTCACTCCTATTTACTATGCCTGCATACAGACCTTTTGAATGCTTAACCATCTTTTTTAGCCCCGGGAAGTCTGGAAAAACAACAACTGGATCAATCTAAGACAATTGGTTATCACCACTACAGAATATGTTACAGATATTAGAATGATGATGGTTTCCCTCACTGGATTTTCTTAACTAAATCTTTGTTACATGTTCTGAATTCCTAGAACTGTGTCCATAACCCATCTTAAAAGAAGTTGAAATAAGAATGACTCAGGATTTTCAAGTATACTTCCACAACAGGGGTTCTGTTCTTTCCCTTTCCCTGCCTGCAGCAAATATGTTATCACTAAAATTGTGAAGGGATGGCTTTGGGGGCTGAAAGAATTGTATCTACCTCTGTTCTTATAAGTAAATCCAAGGACACTAAAGCTTCACCCCTTCCCCATCTACCCCTATAAAGGTCTGGTGATTTCTGATAAAAGGCTACTTCAGTGAAGTGGTTTTTCGTGCTCTTCGTATATGACTAACATGGTTGGGAATTATGAAGATAAAAATCCTCTCTCTTATATTCTTTCCCCAGATTTGAGAAGAGAAACAAACCAGTCATTTTGGATTTTTCACATACCTATACTTCTCTCTTACTATTGAGATTAAACCATAATGAAGTAAATATCAGTGATCTGCCTTTAACGTTAATCTTACCTTATTAGATGCATGATGACCCATGATTATTGGTAAAAACATCTTTTAATTTAGCAGTCATTAGCATATTGGAGTAAAAGGGAGAAAGTATATGTTGAAAGACTAATGGCTAATACTTTTTAAGTACTTATAGTGCCAGGCAAAGGGCTTAATGCATTATCTCATTTAATCCTCACACCAATCCTATTATTACTTTATAGATTTTTTTGTACAATTTATTTAGTATAGTTTAGGTGACAGTCATAGTAACATCTGTGTATAAGACTGAGTTTTTTATTGAGGTACTATTTACATATAATAAAACTTAACCCTTTTAAAGGGTATATAGCTTGATGAATTTGGGTAATAGTTGTGTAACCACCACCACAGTCAAAATATAGAACAGTTTCCTCACCCTAAAAAGTTTTCTTATGGACCCGGGGCCATGGA